GCAGTTGTTCGCTGTCGGCCAGCAGGATTTTGGGACGCATATCAGCATTGTCGACGACCAAACCCGGCGTGCAGGGTAGAGGAAGACACGTTACATGGTGGTCATACAGGGGCCTACATTGCCGAAAACACGAAGAACGACTCGAACGAAGCAAGGGAATACGGGCGGTTACGCTACGCGGCTACGAATGGCAAGAACGAAGATAGTCACGGTGCCGACGGCGACTAGTGGGGTGATCACGCGGTCGATGTTGTCGCCAGACACCAGGGACACGACGGAGACGGCGGATACATCAGCGGCGACAGTGACGTCGATCTCATCGGACACGACGACGGACACGAGAACTGCGACGCGGGAACCAACCTACACGGTAGTCCAGCAGCCAGAAGCCCAGACTCGAGAAGAAGAGACGGATCAGGTGACGGACACGATAACGACGAGAGGCGGCGGTGACGCTGGAACGCCACCGGCACCACCAGCTGTAGTAGGATCTGCAATGGGCGCGCGGAACCAAGAACGAGACGCACCAGTAGGACGTGACGGCGACGCTGCGGCATCGGACACGGGTGCAACGGCCTTACTGGCGGCGATCCAGCAGATGATGTCGACAATGACGCGGTTAGAAGCGAGGGTCGAAGCAATGGAGACGACGAGAGCAGTGCCTGTGGCGTCACCTCCACAACGAACACCGCAGTCTCACACTGTAGAGCCGGCACGAGAGTTACCGAGACAACAGTCGCAAATAGCAGCAGCAGCTCGACAGCCACAAGATCCGACTCCGGCAATACGGCAAGCGGCTCCAGTGATGATCGTGCGACAGCAATCACCGGCAGGACGACAACCATCGCCACCGGCAGCGACGCGAGGAGTCCAAGCAGCCGTCGACGACGGACAGGATCAAGCCACAGAAGGCGACCGAGTCCAGAGAGGACTTCCAGCTCCGGACGGTAGCGATGACAGCGACAGTAGCGATAACAGCGACGGTAGCGACAGTAGCGATGAGTGGAGCGCCACCAGTCACCGTGACCACAGTAGGGAGAGCAGCAGTAGCGATGACGGCGACTCCAGCGATGATGAGCCCAGACGGCACGGACGACAACGACGACAACGGGGACGACGAGTGGTCACGATACGCGCGGACCGACCACGACGTCAACGACGAAGGAAGAGCATCAAGGACTTGGAGTTGGCGACGTTCAAGCCATCTCCAACTGTCTCTGTGTCGACGTGGATAGCCAAAGTCGACTTAGCGTTGGAAGGAGCGAGAGTTTCGGGCCGAGGCGAATGGACGGATGAAGAACTGTACTATATTCTTGGTAATAAGCTACAAGATAACGCTGCAAGGTGGTGGGTGCAGATGGACCAAGAATTGCCCGCCACGGAGCGAACGTGGACAAAGCTGAAGACGGCCTTACTACGACGATACGGGGAGCGACCTGACAAGTCCGCTGCCGAATGGCGAGTGAGCCGGAGACGAATGATGCCGGGAGAGACCTACGCCGACTTTGCGGCTGGCCTACGCGATCTTACTTGACAGAACCGAGTCAGTGAACGGGTGCTGCTGGCCCAGTTCTATCGAAGCCTCGACAAAACGACGCGGCAGCTGGTGAAGCAACCACCAAAGCCACGGACGCTTGAAGAAGCCGTGGACAAGGCGACCGAGATCGACGATCCCATCGACAATGTCGCACAAGGAATGCACAACATAGGACAGGCTTGGGCAACGGCCCCAAATCCATATCTGGTACCAATGGACGGCACGACCGGGCAGGTGCTCGTGATTCCAGGTGTTGGTAGTGGCGTGGGAGCCATGGAAGAGGGAAACGGTATGGTGAGGACGGATGGCGAGGACTTGGCGTACTTTACGAACCCACAAGGCGTCTGGAACAAGTACACCGGGACTTGGGATGTACCTGAGGGACGAACGTGGAACGGACGCTACTGGAAGCCCAACCAGAGAGCACAGAAGCAACGCGCTACATCGGGAGCACAAGCTGGTGGTAAGCGAACGGTGGAAAAGAACGAGCGTAAAGCGAAGACGATGGTGGTGCGATGCCCGCCAGAATCGAGCGACGAGTCAGAGTCAGGGACGGCACCTCCACCACCTAAACGCCAGAAACAGAAGGCGCAAGTTCGGCAGACCAAGGCGGCAGAGACACGGACGGCAAACAAGGGTCCCAGGCGCGACACTCGGCAGAACCTCGACAACCGATGTTACGCTTGTGGCCAGGACGGCCACTTCGCCAAGGAGTGCCCGGACCCAGAAGCGAAGGCACGCAACGACGCGTATCTTGCCAAACGCGCAAACACGAAGGACCACCCTGCGGAAAACGGAGGCCGGGCGTAGTAAGGGGAGTACCGCGCTCTGTGCCGCAGCTGATTCCCCATAAAACAGTGCCGTACGGACGGGACGAAAGGACTGGCAACGCACCGCGGCCATCAACGGTGACGGCTGTGGTAGAGGACGGCAAGAACGGCCGGGTAAGGAACGAAACGACGACGAAAGATGGCGACGACGAACGACAAGAGGGGGGAGCTCGAGTAGCCATGAGGGCAGCTAGAGACGAACTAGAGAGCGAACTGGCGGCAAGAGATGGCGAACGTGCCGAGCGGTACGTGACAACGGTGAAGCCGGCCATGGCGGCACTGCGGTACGTACACTCTGGTGCAAAGGACGGCCGTCATGAACGCCAAGGACGACGCGAGGAAGGCGCCGGAGCTGAGGAAGGCGACGCGGCGGCGGATGTGATGAACGGAATGTTGACACCGGCAGCTACGCACACGAACGCTGTCCTGACGGAGCCGTTCAATGACGAGCTCAGTGATAAGTTGGTGGGCGACCTCGGTAGTATGGCAAAGGTATGGTCATTAACGAAGCAGTCCAAAAGGGACGAGAAGAGAAGGCGCGTGGAGAACGCCAAGCGTAAGGCAGGCGACGCGGAAGCCGAAGTGAATGAGATGGTGGCGGCTTGGGACCGGGAACGACGTATTCGACGACAACAGCAGGCAGACGCGGCACGAGCAGAGATGGCGACCCGGCGTAAGCAACGAGCGACCACTGCGGAGAACCACGACAGCATCGGTGCGAAGGTGAGCTTGGTGCAACGGAACCAAGACTCTACTAGTGCGACGGCAACGCGTGGTACGAACGAGACGAATGTATCGGCCGACGACGGGCTACCTACTGCGTTGATGGCGGTGGACAACGAACGGTGGCCAGTCAAACTCGACAGCGGTGCAAGATATTCTGTCGCTGGCACTGACTGGATGCAGCGAGGTGAACGACTGCGGAAGACGGCTCCTGTAGAGCATGTCGAAGGTATTGGCGGCTTTCTGCTAGACGTAATCGGCGTCTGGGCGTTTACGATGCGCAATGCATTCGGACAGACGGTCGAGGTGGAGGCATGTATCATCGATGAATGCACAGACGAATTCCTAATCGGCGTGGACTTCATGCGAAGCCACAAGGCCAACATGGACTTCGCACGGAACGAAGTACGTTACTGCGCGCATAATACGGAGGTGGTAATACCGTTTCGCACGGAAGGAACGGACGGTGAAGCCAAGGTCGCGGCGGTGAGACTGGTGAAACGGACGAGGCTCGCTCAGAGCGCCGTGACGCCGATAGAAGTTACGGTGGCAGCGCGAGACGGTGAAGAAGGGATCTTTGTTCCAAGCAGACGTTGTGGCACGGTGATGTTAGCGACTACGGTCACGCGGGCAAAGGATGGCAAGGTACTGGTGCCTGCTATAAACGTGCAGGGCGGTAAAGTCAAACTACCAGCTAAGAAGGAGTTGGGTACTTGGGTGCCGATCGACGACGACATGAAGGTGTTGGAGTTCAATGGTGAGCTTAAGTACGATAAGTTGGACGAGTGGCTGGAGACTTTGGGTGACTGCGGGCCCCACTAGACAACGAGGACGAGATACACATGGGAACGGAGGAAGTCGACACTCGACGGTTAGTGGTAAAGCTGTTGCGGGCTTACCGTGACGTGACGACAAGTAAGGGCGACTGCCCACCAGTGGCCGCACTGGACGTACACCATCACATCGATACGGGCGACGCTGCACCCATCATGATGAAACGGCGGCGACAGGCGCAAACGGAGGACGCTGTGGTGGAGGAGAACGTCTCGAAGATGCTGGGGGCGAACGTTATTGAAGAAGGAAATGGTGCGTGGGGCTTCCCCGTCGTCCTGGTGCGAAAGAATGACGGCGAGGTTCGCTTCTGTATCGACTACCGGGCCCTCAATAAGATCACGAAGCGTGACGTTTACCCGTTACCGAGGATCGACGAAACCCTTGAGGCTCTGGGTGGCTCCAGACTGTTTACGACGCTGGATCTTCGGTCTGGATACTGGCAAATTAGTGTGGCACCAGAGGATCGCGACAAAACCGCATTTACGACGAAGAAAGGTTTATACAGGTTCATTAGAATGCCCTTTGGCTTAATGAATGCATCTTCGACCTTCCAACGCATGATGAACGGTGTTCTGCGCGGACTTACCTGGACGACATGCTTAGTGTACCTTGACGATATCGTGGTATACACGCGGGGCGGTATAGGACAGCATTTGGTGCAACTGGCGGCGGTATTGGAACGGCTGGCGACCGCTGGCTTAACGTTGAAGCTCAAAAAGTGCGTCTTTGCGGCGAGCTCGATGGAATATCTGGGGCATGAATTAAGTGGCAACAGCGTACGGCCAGTTGAACGATTAGTGACGGCGGTGAGAGAATTTCCACGGCCAAGCAACCCGGTCGAAGTGAAGCGGTTTGTACACCTGGCAGGGTACTACCGTAAGTTCATAGAGGCTTTCGGCACAATCATGGCACCGATGACTAGGCTCCTGAAGAAGGACTGCGAGTGGCAATGGACGGAAGAACAGGAGTTTGCGTGTGAAAGAGTGAAGGCGATGCTTACGACGAGACCGTTGCTCGTCTACCCGAATTTTGAGCTTCCGTTCCGGCTGGTAACGGATGCTAGTAAGACAGGACTGGGTGCTTGTCTAATGCAAGATCAGGGACGAGGTTGGCAGCCGGTGGCATTCGCCAGTAAGGTAAACAGCACCGCGGAGTCCAACTATTCAATAACTGAACTGGAATGTTTAGCGGTCGTATGGTCGGTGAAGCTATTCCGTCCGTATTTGTACGGGAGGACGTTCACCATCATCACCGATCACGCGGCACTTAAGTGGCTTATGACGAGACCGAACTTAGCCGGCAGGCTTCATCGTTGGTCGTTAATTCTGCAAGAATACGAGTTCGATATTATATATAGGCCCGGCACCACGAACGCCGTGGCTGACGCGTTATCACGGGCACCAGCGGCGGTACTGAGAGTTGTAGGACGGACGAGGCGAAAGAAGACAAGGACGAACACGGAAGACGCGGGTCTCGCAGCAAACACGACCACAGTGAGAACGATGATGGATGACGCGACGATGAGCGCCACGGAGATGTTTAGGAACGGCGGCGACCGGCGGGACGACAAGGCGACGACGCACAGAGGACCACTGACGCGCGCAACGAAACATCGACTGGACGAAGCGGCTCGAACGACAGTCACGGATACGCAAGGTCTGAACAGCGTCGGCGAGGCGCGGAACGACGAGGCGTTGACAGGCGCGCCTATGACGGAGCCGGTGGCGGCGATAGAAGCTGACGTGGAACGAACGACGCGCGAGACGGATACGGCGGATAGCTCGGTAACACCCGCAGCGACGGCGGGCACGAATGAGACGAACAGCGAGGCGATGACGAATGTGACGGTGGCATCCGGCGACGCGAAGACAACGCAGCCGTCGACGAAACCGCAAGATGACCAGAGACAACATACGGTCACGTGGGCCACACCCTTGGACGAAGCGATGCGTGATCGCACGGTGGCCACACGACCACGCAGGACTCGAAGACGGACGTCCGGCACGGACGATTCGGTACAACGGACGGTAGCGGAGGCGACGTCAAGGACACCGACGGCTACGACTAAAACGCCAGTAAGTGGTGCCCAGGCAGAACGCAACATGACGGAAGAACGAACGGAAGGTGCGCGTGGAAACGAACGGAACCCGACAATGGGCGATGATGAGATCGACGAAGACGGACTGGACTCGGAGCTGACGCTACAGCTCACCGATGGTGAAATCACAGCTGCCCAGCAACGCAGTCGGTTAGTACAGAAGCTGATCACGACAGGCGACATGAAGGTGGAGCGTGTGTACGGATTGGTTGTCGTGAATACGAAAGACGGACGGCGCGTGGTGTTGCCACCCGCGCTATGGGCAATCGTATTTAAGGAAATGCATGGATCGGTATGGGCAGGTCATCTGCGTGGACCTCATACCTACGGACGCATCGCACAACTGTACTGGTGGCCAAACCTACAGCGTGAAGTCAACAAATGGGTACGTGGATGTCAGGAGTGCGGCAGTCGGAAAGCCCGACCGCGCGAAGTCATCCCACCTTTACGGAGTATACGTGGCGGCGACGTTGGCGACAGGTGGGCACTTGACGTAGCTGGACCATTCCCGACGGCGAACGGCGGCGAACGGTTCGTAATAGCAGCGCTGGAGTATGTGACGCGCTACGCGACGGCACGATGCGTGACACGACACACGGCGGAGAACGTGGCGACGTTTCTGATGGAAGAAGTAGTGCTGAAATTCGGTGCATTCAGGGAATTGTTGACGGACGGTGCCCCGGAGCTCACGGGCAACGTCATTGAGCACTTAGTAAATCTGCTACAAGCAAGACAGGTGAACCCGGTACCTTACAGGCCTCAGATGATAGGACTGGTAGAGCGTTTTCATCGTTCGTGGAAAGATTGTGTAGCTACGTACATGACGGACGAGCAACAGAACGATTGGAACCTGTGGGTTAAGTTCGCAGTGTATGCCTATAACTCAGCAAGACACTCGACAGTGGCGCTCACGCCGAATGAATTGATGATGGGGCGACGACTTCGCTCACCCAACAAATTGTTACGAACTACGGGGACTACGGAAGCCGGCGATTTAACCAGCTACCACGAACGGTTGTTAGCAGCAATGGCGAGGAGTCACGAGTGTGCGGAAGCTGCGAGAGTGAAGGAACAAGAGCGGCAGGCTCGGTTTTACAATAGGAAGGTGCGACAGAAGCATAAATTCGTGGTTGGTGATCGTGTCTGGGTCTATAATCCACCACGGGGCGCTAAAACGACGAAATTTGTGCACCAGTGGATGGGTCCAGTACGCGTTGTGGAAGCGGCAGGTTACGATAATTTTGTCCTGCAACGAGAAGTTAAGAACGGAACGCCGGAGCGGATCATCGCTCACGTTTCATTTTTAGTTAGTTATCACTATCCAACTGCACTATTGGAGAAGGCAGCAGCGGACATCGACGCGCAACTGCAGCCTGAAGAGCAAGCCGAAGTGGGCGATGGCGAGACGGCCACAGCGGCTATACGAGCAGCGACTACACCACGCCATGCGGCAACAAAGGGCGGAGCTTCGACTGCGGCTGCTCGACGGACGAAACGAAAACGAACAACAGTAGCGAGTTCGGTCGGAATCGACGACACAAGTGGCCAACTGGTGGAGGGACGATGAAGACGGAGGCGGAACCGAGCTGGACAGTACGTCTTGGAGTACTATCTGCACCCCGCCAGAGACGAAAGGCACGGACGGAGTAATAACGGAGGCCGATGGGTCTCAGTCGGCGAATATGAACGACTGTTCCGGGACGGAAGGGTCATGAAAGACCCTTAATTTGTGGAAGTCGTGTAGCAGGGCACGAGCAAGTTTGGCTGAACCCG